AACGTCAGCTTTCCTGCTCCTCTGATGCTGCTTGGCCTGCTGTGTCAATCCAGCTCTACACCTTGGTATCTCAGATTCTTCCAGCATCTGCAGTTCCTACTATCTCTGAAACAAGTATTCTATCACACTCCTGATTTCTGCCTTGTTGATGGTGGACAGGCTTTGGGGAGTCCAGAAGGGAGTTACTTGCTGCAGGATTCCTATCGTCTGACCTGCTCTTGTAGCCAATCTATTTAGAAGGCTGTTCTGTTTCTGACCAATGGTAACCCCTAAGATGTTGATAGTGAGTACATGCAAGATAGATCAACAGGATAAACATGCTGTGAGTTAAGACACAGGCAGCAGAGTTTTGGATGACATGAAATTAATGGAGTAAAGATGTGGAAGATCAGCCAGAAATATGTCGGAATGATCAAGTTTAGAGGGAACAAAAACATGGATGAGCATTTCAGTAGCACTTGGCCTAAGGCAGGGGGATAAGTGGGCCATGTTACCGTGGTGGAAGTAGGGTGTTTGGCAGATGTATGGGCAGAAGTTCAACGCTGCATCAAGTACAACCATAAGGTCATGAAGAATCTGCTTCAGTTGCCAGGGAGAAGGATGGAATTAATGGCTAAGGAACGAGCTTTGTGGTGGAAGTCAAAAGGCCACAACTTTGGTCTTCCCAATATTGAGCAGGAGGAAATTTCTGTTGGTGGAGTGCTGAGTGTTAGTTTGGTAGTCTGATAATCCAGAAGGGTAAAAGAGTTGAAGGGGCATTTATTGCCTTGCTACTGGCAACCTTTGGTTAGACCAAAAGAGAGATAAAAAGGAACAGACTGGAAGTGGGGTTTGAGTTCAGTAGTTACATTCTTCTGAAAGGTATCACTGTGAATCAATCTTTATAAGTTTGTAAAGATTGGCATCTGTTTAATTTGTCACCACTGAAGCTTTAGAGGGGTTACACTGATATCACTGAGAAGCAACGTCAAGTTGAGAAATATGATTCTAAATATATCAAAAATTAAATAAAAACCGAAAGAACTGTGGATGCTGTAAATCAGGAACAATGAGGAAAGGTCACCGGACCCAAAACGTTAACTCTGTTTTTTTCCTTCACAGATGCTGCCACACCTGCTGAGCTTGTCCAGCAACTTTGTTTTTAATCAAAAATTAAAGTCTAACTGAAAACATTTCAAACTAATTAATAGTAAACTGTGTAAGTTATCAATTGTCTTCGATTTTTTAATTTCCCCCTTTATCTCTAACAAATGCTATGTTTAATGTTGGACAACATTTTAGTACCTCACCCAAATAGTATGTAATGTGTGTGTGTATGTTTGTGCATGTCTTTAGCAAGAACAGGGAGATAAATTATTTTCATTGCACAAACTCATTTGTAACAAGAACAACTGGGCAGTGATCGGGCACATGAACTGTAACTGATTTCCCTCTACAAGCCATGGCAGTGAGACCAATAGAGGCTTGTTTACCACTAACTCTGTAACATAAGCTCTGTCAGCACTTAACCCAATACGAAACCTGGACTCTCTTCAATACAACTCTTGACATCTGTGGCAAGAAGATTTTGTCATTTAATCAGCTTTCAAAAGAACCTCATTTATTATTTTACTGACCTGAGTCATCAAGTAATGGTTCAAAATACCAGAAACATTTGTTTGATTGTGCTCGAACAACATATTATCATATCAGATGACTAACAGCTTTAGTACAAGGTAATAGAGGTGAAAATGATGTGTATCTATGGTGACTGAGAGCTGCCACATTATCCACACCATGTTTTTCCATGATGCCCGATTAGAAGTATTGATAAAAAGCTAAATAATCATTCTCAAATGGTTTTAATCGAATACTCTGAACAAAATCAACACAGCAATACAAAGAGACACTAAAGCATTCTGTTTACTGATGCTTTCAAGATAGCTCAGTATAATCTAGTGAGTACTGAAAATATAGTGGGAAAGAAAATCTATTCTCCTTTGTATTCACGGAAAAAAATTCTCGCATCACACTTTAATGCTTAATATGTTTCTCAATACCTCAGGAATATGCAATTGATGTGTTCACTCGATCTCTGGTTTGTGTTATGCTTGATGCCAGGTACGTAGATTGGCCATCAGTGTGTTAGACATTGTGGTTTATAACGAACATATGTGCTACTGCTGAAACAACATCTCCTCATATCATCTGGTCAACATTGTAGGAACATTACCTGACCACAAAACCAGTCAACTTCTACTCACTCACAATTAAATTTGACATTCACCTGTTCCAAATAATTCCTAAGAAAAACAACACTTGAATGGCACAATTAACAGGGAACAAT